GCAAGGAAAAAACACCGTCATTTTTCTCATGCTTTGTCTGCCTCACAATTTGGCAATTTTGGTCCCCGCTGTACTGGAAAAGCTACCCTCGCTCTAGTCAGCACGGCCTCAAGAAGCCGTGGAAGGTAAAAACTAATGTCTCTCACGTTGTACGTACTCAATAGATGCACCTTAAAAGTGCACCGCTCTCCTCATTCCCGCGGCTCTACAAGGTTCTGCTCAGGCCTCTCCTCCTCTGACCAGAAGGACAGCAGTTGTCGTGTTTGTATCCAGGCACAGCGGGGAGATGCGTAACGAGTCTCTTCTCCTCGGGTCTCACTGGCTATGACCTTCTGGGCACTCCAGCAGTTTAAACAGCAGTAACAAGCTGTCTCCACGGGACTCCCTCGCCTTTGCCGCATCTTCAGTTTTGGCTTCATCGAGAATCCCAGATTCATCTGCATCATGATGGATTTGAAAAATAAAACTCTTTTATCAATAACTGTTTTCACACTGACCCGTTTCCCCCAGGGGTTGCCTTCACAGGCAGCATCCTCTCCAGGGGGAATCCGCACAGCTGCTTCTCATGGCCCAAGCTGCAGGCGATGCAGTGGGTAGGACTCCGGGCATTTTCCCTGGCAGGAAAAACAACTGGGTGACCCCGTTGAACAGAGCAGCCTACACAGCGGAACAACCTCTAGATGAGGGCGATTACAAGACTTGAGTACCGAAGGTTTCAGAACACACGTTACCCAAACACCTGAAACTATGTGTTAATGCAGAGCGTGCAGATTCTTGGTGCTTGGGGGAAAGAAAAAAAAAACATTAAAAAAAAAAATCTTAAACACACATAAAGTTCACCAGATCTCCACATCTGATAAAGAACTGCAGAATCTGTTAATATACAGATAGGCAATCTTCCACTCAGGAAGAAGAGCAGTAGAGTACACTTAAAGGTGGGAAAAAGGGAAAGCGAGCCAATGCTTGAGGTCCTCCCTTTGCTTCCCTCCTTAAGGCAGGGAAACCTGAAACCAAGATAAAAAGCCTTTGCAGGCTACTTCAAAAATGCAAACACACACTGGATCAGGAGAGGGTTTAAAGTGCACACTTTTATTTTCTATTACAAAGGCTAAAAGAAGCAAGTTTTTATTTATTTATTTATTTAAGAACAAAACCAAAAATGTTGTTAAAACATCTACATTATTATCCTGATACTAGACCTTATGAAAGATACTAAGTTCTTTTTTAATAGTAAAGCGTGGTATTCTTAAATTATATTAATACGAAGACATATTAAAGGACTCAAAATCATTACTACCCAGCTCAGAACTGCAGCATCCCCTTGCTATCTTTTCCTTTCACTTGCTAAAACCCATCCATTTTTGACATACAGTTTCATACAAGCTAAGTAGGGTATTTTTTTTTTATTTTGTATTTTTTTACTTCCCCCCGTAAAGGTCAGGTTAACTCCAACACCAGCGTCACTTAAATCCCTGCCCCTGCCAAAGGATTTGGGAAAAGATTTTCACTAAGTCCTTCAGCATTTAACAAGCTGATCTAAATCAAAGTCTCTCCTCTGCATAAGTGTGCGCGTCGGCGGTGATTTTACAGGATATGAGATTTTCTTCTAATGTTATAAAATTAAAATACCGCTTCTTTTGTTAATAACCCTCGGATGTGGTTCTGCGCTGCAAAGTTTTCTTCTTCCCTCACATGATCGAAGAAAAGAGAGAGTTATCGCAGGGTCTTGTGAACGCGCCACTAAAGCAGCCCTACAACTTGTGGTTTATCTGTTGTAGAGCCGGGAGCGCTGAGCAGTTCTGCTGCGAGTACGTAACGTGCTGAAGAAAACCCCCTCGGCTTGATAAAGCGAGCCTGGGAAGTGAAGTGTGAAGCTTCCTCCCTTTCACAATGTCCTTTTAAATAATATAAGCAAAGCCTTATTAAAACTTTACTCGCTAGTTAGCAGTATAATACTCTTTCACTGAGATGGGACTGTCAGGACATCCTGGGGGGGTTCAAAAATGTCAACAGGGAAATCTGTCCCATCTCAAAATTTATACCTATCTATATAAAACCCTCCCCTGTTTGTTATTTCCCTTTCCCTAACCCAAATAAAAGTCTTCATATTTAAACTGGAGATGCTGCGTTTCGCGGCCCGAGTCCTTTTCCTTTACCCTCATTTAAAAGATTCCTTCGATACCACACACATATAATATTATATAGAGCGATATATTTAATACCTGTGTATATATGCTTCATGGGAGGGGTCACATATATACACACTAAAACAAGTCTGGTGACAAAGTACTGCAACACCACAGACCAGGTTATCATATCAGGGAAAACAAAAAGAGATACTCGATGCAACCCCCGTGATCGTCGGCCTCCCTCACCTCACGTACGCTCGCCCTCTCCCTGCCTCGGCCCCACTCGGAACCTCCGAAGCTCCGCCAAGCCAAGACGGGGAGAGGGGCCAGCGACTCGCTTTCTAACCTAAACAAGTTATTGTAGGAGAAATCACGGCGCAGCGAACACTGGAGTCACACTAGAAATGCAGATTTGTTTTAAAAATAATAAAAAAACCCCACACATTCCAACGTTCTCCGACCTGGATTTGCTTCCTTGGCATCTCTGCCCACGACGAGCAGAAGCAGCTACCCCAGGAGGTGATGCCCACCTCCTCCTCCGTCTCTCTCCGTTTAGACAGTTGACCACTTGAGCAGAAGGAGCACCAGGAGAAGGTACAATCCGGGCAGCTACAGCGAAGGGCAGAGAAGAAAATACAGCACCTGACCCACTCAAAAACCACCATGTCTGGTATCGCGTTGGTCACTCGCTTTCCCCATAGCGCTACGGATCCTTCCTCATCTCCTCCTCCTCCTCGTACATGGGCAGAGGCAGAAACAACCACTTCCCTCCCCTGTTCCCTCAGATCTCTCATAAACTGGAAGATGTTACGGTCCTGGCCCCTTCCAGGCCAGATCTCGAGGTGCTCTACAGCCAAGCAGGGAAGCTCACACCAAACCAGGGACCATCATCCCCATTTTAAAGGAGGGGAAACAAGCTCAGAGGCACATTTCGCTTACTTGGAGCACACAACATCCTTGGAAAGACCCAGGACCAGCATGCAGCGCACTCTGCTCCTGGGCTGTAACTAACCTCAGGGGAGCTGATGCACCTTCCTGGAGGCTGGCTTAGAAAGGTGCCAGCTACCCCCCCAGCACCTCCTGCATTTCCACATCCCATCTCTCTTGACGCTGGGAAGCCCAAGGATATGGGGAGCAGGGAGGGAAAATGGGGACCCAGCAACGCCAAAGCACCAAGCAGTTCACGGCCAGATTGTATTTACCACGGATACAGCACTGCCAGCCCCGTGGGCTCTGAGCTTGCTGTCCTGGGAGACTCCGGATGAAAAAAACATCCCCCAGGAGGGGCGGGAAGGAGACGTGTCTGTGTTTGAGTGGATGGTGCCATCCAGGCATGAAAACCTGCAGAGTACAGCTGGGCTGCAGAAGAGAGGAGGAGAGGGAAACTCAGGACAGGACACACGTTTACTGCTTACAGGATGAGACCGCCAGAAAGGACAAGGCTGGCATACAGAGCAGTACTGCCTCTCACTGCTGCCACTATAAAATCCAAAAATCTTGGCCCAGAGCCCAGCACCACTGGTTCCCCCATCGTGGCACACATCAGGCGGGACAGGAGCTGGCGCGTGGCTAGGTCCCACTGTGCCGCTCACCCTCTACCGCAGTCCCTGCCCTGGGTCGCATCCTGGCTGCGCCGAGCATCCGCAAGCTCCCTGCTCCGGCTCCACGGAGTGCTGGTAAGCACCCCTTCAGCTGGAATTCCCATCAGGAAAGCATCGCCCATGCTGCTCGATGGTGTCCTTTTAAATGGGTCCCCACCCAGTTCTTCTGGCAGCGCAGGGCAAAACGCCGCTCTAAATAACCAGGCACACACGCCATTTAAAGAGCAAGAAGGGAACCCCGTTACCTCCCTCCCGCTCTTCAGGACACAAGGCCACACAGAAACACAGAAGCTCCTTTTGGTTACAGCCTTCCTCCTGACTGATAACTGCTGCGGGGACTACGGTGACACAGTGTGCGTGTCATACTCCACTGCACCTTCCAGATGGCTTCAGTCTTACTTGCACCAGTCACACCAGTCAAAAAACCAAACCAAACCTACCCACGCTGAACACCTGTCGCGCACTGAGACAAGACATCTAAGGAAGAGTCACCAATTTGCTTTCTGGGTACAGGCAGCTGAAACGGTCTGAAGTCACCTAAGGTCTGAAGTCACCTACGGTCTGCTTCCTGCTGCTGAAAGCAGGTTTATTACTTTGCTGCTTTCAGCTACACACTTTACACCACACAGCTGTTACCCTCAGCGCCAGTTGATGCCTCAGGGCAATACAGACAGAAGGAGCTTAAGCCTAGATGTTTTAAGCCAGATCTAGTGGTTTTCCTTCTTTGCACCTCAATTCCTAACTCTTCTGGTACTGATGTCCCAGGAGAGCAGGCCGGCTGCAGCAGCGTAAGTGGGGCTGAGAAAAGCAGCACTGAGAAAAGGAGCACATGAACTTCATGGTCACCTTTTCACCAAATGTCTGGCCCTTTCTCTCAGCTTCATCCTCTGCACCTCCGCAGCCACACTCCGATTTGGAGGGCAGAAGAATGACACAAGAAGAAAATTCTCTGATTCGCAGCCCAGTACAAACTGGATTCATTTCTTTGAATGAAGGACAGCGAAAACAAAAAGACAGAGAGGAAGGAGAATTTGGGGGAAAGAAGAGAGAGAAGACGGATCACAAACTCAGTGAGCATGGCGTTCGCTGGCCAAGGAGAATCAAATTCACAATTTCATTCACCACTAATAAATCATCATCTCATAATCTTAAAACAAAAGGAAAGAAAAAGTTCTCTTTGCGAGACGCAGATCTCGCTCTCCCTGCTACTGCCACTCTCGGAAAACCTGCCCTGTGTTTCTCCAGCCAACAGCCTCCCCCCCAACCCTTACTATACGCCATCCCGCAATAGGAAGTTGTATTTCCCGAAGTCGTCATCCCTGGGGCAGAGCAGCATGTCCTTGCGGGCTTTGGCCAGTTTCTGTTTCAGCACCTCCCTCCGATCCAGCCATTCTGTCAGCTCGTCCTGGCCGTGGGCGTAGCGACACTCCTCTCCTTCGGGACAGGTCTTGTTCTTCTGGAACCTGCCGGCACAAGGAGCGTGAGATCAGGAGAGCACCCCCAGGACGGGGTTTTGAGATCCCCGTCTCGGATACTCGTTCGGGTCCCACCGAAACACACTGCGAACTCTCCTTTCTAGGGGCAAAGCGATTCTCCTACAAACCCACGTGCAGCCGGGGAAGGCAACACGGAGGGTGGGCATAGAAACAGAGCAGCGAACAGAGCAACGTCTATGAGGGGATTTAGTCAACAGGACAAAACAATGTGAGCAGGAACTGGACCGGCAGGGATGAGGAGAAACCACCGCGTAAGAGAGGAAATGCCAGGTAACAGCCATGAGAGACAGAGCCTTCTCTCTAACCAAAAATGGCATTTCTAACCACCACGAGCCTTCTGAAGACACCTCAAGGCACTCATTTAGAGGGTGCGAGACATTCAAATCATTTGATAAGGCACCTGGGATTCCCCCAAGCGTCAGGTCAAGCAGACTGTTCAGCAGCCTGAGGGCACCCCGGCCATGGAGGGCACAGGTGCAGACACAAAGCTCGCTCTCATTTTCTAAAGACACGCTCTCGGGAATGCATTTTTACCACTCAGCAGTGAGGCTGAGCACCTCTGGGATCCACCAGCAGCCTCACCAGCAGCCAAACCTGTCAGCTCGTCCCACTCCTCCTCCAAGCAGAAGTCCCTGGGGACTCTGTGAGAGGAGGAGGAGGTGGTGGAGGAGGAGAAGGAGGAGGAGGAGGAGGAGGGATGATGGATGTCCTGGGGCGTCCCTGCAGCAGCAGCACAGGAAGGAGACGAGAGAACGGTACCTTTCGCAGAGCCGGAATTCGCCCATGGGGAAGCGGTAGCTCCAGCAGCTGGAGTCACTGTCCGAGGTGAAGACCTTCTCCTTGTGTTTCTCCGACTGGATGTGCTGCTGCCATTGCTTCTTGCTGTTGCTGTTCTTGCCGCAGAGCCAGCAGTGGTAGCCCATCTAACCGGTGCAGACAGGGCAACGGGCCAGTCAGTGGGTTAACCGTCACACCCATCGGCCTTCCCCGTGCTGCCACTGCCTCTCCCCCTCTCCTTCCAGAGCATCCTGGAAGCTCCACTCAGTCTACGCCCTCCCACGCTTCCCTGCCATGTCATCTTTAGGGTGCTGTGCTACCGCTAAGGGGGAGCAGAGGAGACGCTCTGTCGAGGTCTACCTACAGCTCAAACGGGCTCAGAGCACAGGACAGCTCAGTTCAATGACGTGGGCCCTCCCTGCCCCTGCTGATGGCCCAGGTGGGGTCTGACTGCAAGGCCCCCGGGGGCACAGGTAATGCAGGACTCCTCAGGAGCACAGACCCTTAGACCAGCCGCCACCCCTGGCCTAAGGAGACACATCTGCCTCTAGCTTTCCCAGGCCTCTGTGCTCCAGACCCAGCCTCTTCTCCACCCTTCTCCCTCTTTTCTGACAGGCCAGCGACGGCCTTGCCAGCTTTCCCAGGAGTGGACAGGAACCCCTCTGAAGCCCACGCAAAAGGGAACCTGAGGGAGACTCCTACTGACTGGAGGATTAACAGAAAAGTCACGGCAGAGCCTTGCCGACCCCAGGTCAATCCCTTCCCACCTCATCTGGGCTGCCCTTGCTGCGCTGCTCCAAGCTGCCCATTTCACCTACGTTAGCACGGGCTCTTTCCCACAAGAGCAATGCAGTCCCTGGAGCACAGGAGAGGGGCAGGCTGTCAGCACCGAGGAAGAGGAGGAGAAGGGGTGAAGGACAAGAGATCAGCTGATTACCATGATGTCAGCATAGTCGGTGGGCATCTGGATCTGTTTCTCTCCTTCTCGCGAGGTGAGCGGCGTCCCCTCTCCAGGCTTCCCAGGATTGTGTTTCTTTAGCCACATGTCATAGGTCTGCTGCATATCTAGTACTGCACAAAGGCGACCCGTGAAGTCACTCAGAGAACCTCCCGCACCGCGCACAAACTATGAGAAAAGGACAAATGCTGGGGCAGCCCTTCCCTCCCCTCTCCTCTGGAGCAGCACTTGCCGTCAGACTGAAGGCCTGTGCCCGGGAGGCCAGATGTCACCTCCCTCCCCCTGGGGAGAGGAACCAAATTCACACCACACTGCCCCTGGTGTGGCGAGGGGTCTTCTACGAGTCCAGGGGCAACCGTGACCACAGCTACACAAAGTATTCTACAAGTATTCAAATCCTGCGTTCAGTTTTGGGCCCCTTGCTACATGAAAGAGCTTGAGGTGGTGGAGCGAGTCCAGAGAAGGGCAACGAAAGGGTCTGGAGCACAAGTCTGATGGGGAGCGGCTGAGGGAGCTGGGGGGGTTTGGTCTGGAGAAGAGGAGGCTGAGGGGAGACCTGATGGCTCTCTACAACGACCTGAAAGGAGGGTGTAGCCAGGTGGGGGTCGGTCTCTTCTCCCAAGTAACCAGGGATAGGACAAGAGGAAATGGCCTCAAGTTGCGCCAGGGGTGGTTTAGATTGGATATAGGGAAGAATTTCTTCAGCAAAAGGGCTGTCAAGCATTGGAACAGGCTGCCCAGGGAAGTGGTGGAGTCACCGTCCCTGGAGATGTTTAAAAGACGTGTAGATGTGGTGCTTAGGGACAAGGTTTAGTGGTGGACTGGGCACTGTTAGGTTTAGGTTCGACTCAATGATCTTAAAGGCTCTTTCCAACCTAAATGATTCTATAAGGAGGGGAAGTGCCCCAAGATCTCCACGGACTTCACCCCAGAAGGTGATCCCCTCCATCAGGCCTGTTCTGCTTGACCTCAGCAGACATCTCACTCCAGCCAGGCAGCTAAGGCAGGGGCTGGATTCCGATCTGTTCCTTCCCTCTAAGCCTACGTTTCATCCTCAGCACTCGAGAGGGAGGAGAACCCGTAAGCAGGCTGGACACAGGAAGCACTGGGGAGGGGAGGAAGACCTAATGATAGCTTGTCCCAAGTTCAAAACCTGCCCAGAGGAGTGCAGTCAATGTCTCTTGGTGCTTTTGGTTTAAAACCCACTCAGGATAATAGTGGGAAGGAAAATTTTGGGTGGAAGCTTTGACTGCACATCTTCCTTCCCAAGATCAGGTACCGAGAGAGGCTACGGAAACATAAATGTTTGCAGACACCGATGCGATGCTGTAAGTGCGATGCGTTACTGATTTACTCCTCGCTAAATGGGTAATTGAAATGCGATGCTGCAAGTGCGACGCGTTAGTGATTTACTCCTCGCTAAATGGGTAATTGAGGAACTCAAGGCAATTGGGGATAATGAATGCAAATTCCTCCAAACTGAAGTAACGCTGTCATTTGAAGATTCACCTTCGTGCTTGAGCAAACACACCCAGACTGGTCTGATGTACTTTAATGGCTTCAGCAACAAAATGCCTTGAACTGTAACAAATAACAGCGTTTGGCCCAGCAGAGAGAAAGACCCTTCATCCAAGCATAAAGACTGAGCAAACTCAGGGCAGGACTGGAACCCTTCAAGTTTTCCAGGGCCTAGCAAAGAGCTTGCTGTTGGTCTGAAAACTCAAGGATCGCTGCCAGAGAGCTGGTGGTCCAGGACATGGGCAACCCCCCCAGCTTTCCCCCAAAAGGTAAGTCGGGAGCCTGAATAATTAATTCCAGACAAGCTCCTCCTGAAAGGCACCACTCAACGATGTTCCAATTCAGGATCTCAAATCCACCTCTTTGAATACAATGCCATGAGCAGGGAGTGCCGCAGCCCAGGAGCAAGGGATATGAGCAGAAATAGGCAAGAAAGCCAAGGCAGATACAAGACAGACAAGAAAGACAGAGGAGCAGCTCTGGCAGAGCTCCATACGGAGCCAGGCCTGGGGCAGTACGGGCAGCTGGAGGGACAGCACAGGGTGGATTCGAGGAGCTGCGGAAAGGGAGGGCAGCAATGGAGTGATGCAAGACATGGGACCAGTGTGCACTAGTCCCAGAGCGAGGGACTCACGATATACACGCATGTTTAAGAAAAGAGCAGCTCTAAATTACTGTAGGCAGACCTGCCCCATAAACTCAAGCTCACGGTACCAGCTCCGTCCAGTTCCACCTCTGTTGTGAAGATTATATCTTAACAGACCCTGCACCCACTGCCCCAATGTCCTCTTCCCTCTCCCCAGACTCTCTGGCCCATGTTTCCCCCACTCACTTTTATTTTCCTTCATGAAGGTCCACATGTCTCTCTCCTCCGGGCTGTGGGCGAAAGAGCAGTTGCCCACATACTGACATTTCCTGCCATTTTGTGCATGGATACACAACTGTTAAAAGACAAGAGAGCAAAATTTAGCATCTGCACAAACACTCCTTGCTAGAGGGGAAAGGGAGTTCAAAAAACCAGCTGGGACATTAAATTGCACGCAGGAGAGGACGTGAACAGGACACTTCATACGTCATTAACTCATGCTCCTGATGACACAAAGGGTAAGTTTTCCCTATAAACATGCAGCCAGCTCTGTTCAGCACCTGGCCTCTCTCTTGTTGCCATTTCCATAGGCGATCGGGTGCAGGTACGCTTAGCACTGGCCCTGGGGGAGGCAGCACGGAGAGACGCGGTGTCTCCTGCTGGTCATGTTGCTGGTCCCCAAAGATGACTCATTCTCCAGCCATCTCCAAGCAGGCGAAGAGTAGCCTCACAGGTTGCTTAGACCACACTAGCACACTCACAACTTTACCTCCCAGCTACCAACAGCCTCATTGCTAGAGAAAATGAGAAGCTTTCCAAGCATCGTATTTACTGATCATCCCTTCTCCCCCAGGCCTGCCACCCGAGGAGGACAGCAGCGTGGAGACCAACCGGCCCACATGAACTGGGGAGAAGAGACAACGTTGTTCCTCTCTGACTGGGATGGGTGGGAGCTCAGGCAACGCACACACTCGTACGGCAACCTGCTTTGCTGTATGATCTGCGACTCACCTGCTGGCCTCCTCTCCTACTGCAGCAGCTGTAAATAACTCTTGCTCCCCTCCCCAGCTTCTAGCAACTGGTCCTCAACTGGAGAGCGCTCAAGGCCCCACAGGTGGCCTTGTGCCTGCCCATGGACTAAGGGGCAGCAGATCCCAGAGGGCAAGGGGAGAGGAGCTTTCTCCTTTCAGGGAGAAAGGAAAGGAGAGGGAGAGAGAAACTATCCATCGCCACATTCAGGGCTGGGGTTGGAGGTTGGATATCTGTAGTTTTCCTCACAGCACATGGCTTTTTAGCAGAGTTCTTAGTTCTGCTTTTAGAACATTTCACGAGCAAGTTTCACAATCTACAGCAGCGCAGCCACAGCAAAGGCAGGGAGAGGCTTCTCCCAAGCACCCTGTCTCGCCTCTCACCCACATTGAGAAACCCTGACCTAAGGGGAGACTTAAATCTCATTCCCAAACCCTGTGCCAGCAACTTCTTGAGACTGTGACTGCATTAACAGCAACATCAGAAACTCGCATACGTGCGTCGAGTGGTTTAAATAAGTGCTGCTCCTTTTTCTGCTCCACCCTTTTGCTGGATATGTTTGAGATCTTGTTGCCTTCAGCCTGTCCTTGCCTCCCACCTCAGCCAACACGTGCCTGCCTTCCTGCCAGGCCTACGAGGGACCACCCCTCAAAGCACTGCACCACGGTGGGAGGGAAGGGGAAGGGGCACCTGGCTGTGCCAGGCATGAGGCTTACATCGTATTGCTGTGGGAAGTTGCGGATGGAAGGCAGTGGTCGGACAGACACCCACTTCTTCTTTGCTTTGGACATCACCAGCAGGACGCGACGTTCCTTCGTCCAACTGAAGAAAAAAGAATAAATCAAGAGAGGCAAAAGGAAGAGCAGATCAAGGCTTTGTTTTCCTCAGAGACCCTTAAATATTGAGAGATGACCAGATCCTCCAGTCCCTGCACTATCCGGCTGCTCCTAGACACGCACATCTGTGACCGAGAAGTCACAAGAAGGGTGTTTTAGCAGGATTTCACCCTGTACTTATCATGTATTTCCTGGGATATCTCTTCTCATAAAGCCACAAAAGTCTCCCACAAGTCTCACACAGCATCACCATGGATTACTAAACAGCTGCATTCCACCCTTCGACACAGCCAATTCTTGTGCAATCAGATCCATGAAAAACATTCGGGAATATTTTCTGTTTGAAAGGTGCAGTAGAAATGCAAGTCCTTACAAGCACTGCCTTATGAACAGGTGCCAGGAAGCATTAATTCTCCTGCAGCACCAGCAAGCGATCACCAAGAGATACCCTGGCTAGAACTCCCAGCTCTGTTCAGCAGCTGCACAAAGAGGCGTTATCCTTCCCCTTCCTAGAAGCGATCCTCACCTGCTCCCTTCCTCCAGCAACTGCTGCTTCTGTCTCTTTTTCATCAAAGGTCTTGCATTTGCAATAGGATGCTGGCCTGTGCCTTTGTGGCTTGGGTTATGGGAAGTGAAGTCCTGTAAACCCTTCCATCCTATCCTGCCAGGCTGCCTGGGTGAGAGGTGCCAACAGTTTCCGTGACCCAGTGGTGACTTCCCAGCTGATGATCCTCCTCCTCTAGCACACCAAACATCCTCACAGGCCCCAAGGAACCAGGAGGTGCAAACAGACAAGACGTGCATCAAAGAAGAATCATAGAATCGTTATGGTTGGAAGAGACCTCAAAGATCATCAAGTCCAACCGTATACCTGACGCCACCGTGCCCACTAAACCATGTCTTGAAGTGCCACATCTAAACGTTTTTTGAACACCTCCAGGGATGGTGACCCCACCACCTCCCTGGGGAGCCCGTTCCAATGCCTAACGACTCTAACAGTGAAGAAGTTCTTCCTAATATCCAACCTGAACCTCCTGTGGTGCAACCTGAGACCGTTTCCTCTTGTCCCATTGCTAGTTACCGGGAGAAGAGACCGACCCCCACCTGGCTACACCCCCCTTTCAGGTTGTTGTAGAGAGCGATCAGGTCTCCCCTCAGCCTCCTCTTCTCCAGACTAAGCAACCCCAGAGAGCAACCAAAGCAATGAAAGAGCCAAGGAAACCAATCTGAAACAAAGTAGAATACCTTGAACCATTGCTAATAGTGACCTGACAGACATCTGCAAACAGCTAGGAGTATAAACGAGTGCAGAAGAGAATTCTCTCAGTGATCTTGCTAAGAAGAAATGATAGCAACTGGGAAAAAAGGGAATTGTGGGAGTTGGACTTGCATGCACCAGAACAACAGTCTGCACAACGCTGGCAGCAAACACAAACAGCAAAGAGAGCTGGAAACTGGGAAACGGCTATCAGCACCGCCTGCCGTAATGACAAACACCCCGAGCAGTGAGAGGCTGCTAGGAAACCTTACAGCCTCTTCCAAAGAGGCCAAATGAAGCCCTGGAGAAGGTAAGAGGAGAAATTCCTGCCCTTGAGGAGGGGTGGGGAAAAAGAAGGTTGCGTTGCTCACCAGTGGCGGGCTTTGGCACTACAGTACTTGAGGTCTTTATCTGGCTCCACCAGCTGCCCGTTCCTCCAGCACTGGCCACACACAAATTTCATCTGGAGGTCAAAGGTGCTTGACGTGGGAGCCCGGGGAGAAGCCTGGGGAAGAGAACCACAACCTCAGGCAAACAGAGCCAAAACGCACCCCCCAAACTCTCACGGAGACACTGGCAGCTCCCCGCACACCAGCGACAAGCCAGATTAAATCAGAGACAGCCCGGCTCTCCTTTGGCAGTGTTAGCTGGTGACCTGTCGAGATACCAGACAAGAGTAAAACCACTGCTTGCTTCAGCATGATTTCCTGGGCTTTGACGCCTGGCCAAAAGCACAGCCAGCCCGGCAGCTTCAAGCACTGACCAGGCCTGGCTGCGAAACCCCTGCAGCGTATCTCCATGTACAGACGAGCTCTGCGAGACCTGCCCCACCGCTCAATCCCCGCCGGGAGGGCAATCCATGTCCGCCTCGCTACCCATGGAGAGAGCTCAGTCGCCGAGAGAGCCCCTTGGGAGGAGGCCAAGCTGTGCCACAGCGCAGGACCAAGAGGCTCACGTCAGGTCCAGCATTTGCCACACTGAAGTCAGAGCTGGGTCCCCTTGGTGATACCCTTCAAAGCCATTTCTGGGCAGGTTTCCATCCCTCACAGTGCTTTTGCACCAAGCCCCACAGGCAGTTGAACCTGATCTCTGGACAGAGGTACAACTGTCAACGCACATATTCCATATCCTCTCAGCCACTTCACTTCATCGTCCTTCTACCTGTCTCCTTGAGAAGGTTCTTCCGGGATTATGACTAACAGATCGTGGAGGGGGAAAAAAAAAACAACGGAGCCAGTCCCTTATCACTGCTGCCTCGCATTTTCTCAGCAAATCTCTGCAAAGCCCTTTACATTTTGTACCACCACTGGAAGACATGAGGCTGGTCTCTCCGGTTCCTTTCCAAACCAAAGAGCAAACCTGACTGCACGCCAGCGGCCCTGGGCACAGGAGTCTGCCAGGGTACAAGCAAGAACCTAAAAGAACAGCCTGGTCATCGAGCTGACCGTGAAGCACAAAGGTCACGTACCAGTAAAACAGCTCTCTGACTGCTAACCACGTAAGCAGCCCATCCCAGCTGCCATGCCTTGACTGCTAACCCTGAGGATCTAACACGGAGCAGACACGTAAACCATGCCTCCGAGGAGCAGGCTTCTGCCAGCAACTGATGAACAGCAGCGCGGACCCTATGCGCATCCCTCGGCAAAGGGGAAACAGCAAGCACGGGTGGTGCAGAACCAAAGCATCTCCCAGGAAACGCCACGTAAGCTATCGACTCCCACTCTGCATCCTCCAGACCCAGTCTTTTGGAGAAGCAGAGCTGACGTACGACGGGTCCTCCATCGCTGTGAAAAGCTGATCTGCCCCAGGAGGTCAGGCGAGCTGACCTTTGCCTGCGCTGACTACAAGAGGCCATCACTGCTCTGGATGTCTCAGCAAAAGGACTCATCGAGAGAACCATCATCTCTCTTGAAAAACAGCAGCAATTCTGGCCTACTGACCTGCAGGACGGCCTGTCTGGTGGCATCCATTCATCTGTCAGCTTGGCGACGACCAAGAACACATCAAAGCAGCCAGCTACAAGATGAGCAGGGTGGAGACCTGGGATACCACGGAAGGCAGCAAGGTGCCGTCCTCTCAAATGTGTGGCCTTTAAACAGTAGTTTTAATCTCCATTTGGTCTCCAAAGGAAATTACGCTACAGCTCACCACCGACCGACCAAACCTATAGGCCTAAGGTAACAAAACGGCACCGCTGGCACGTTCCCTTTTATCAGCCCAAGGCTATCTGCCATACAGATCCCTCAGCACACACAGGAAGCTTGGCTCCAATCTACTGACCCAGCAAAAAGAAAAACTGAGTGGCTCCAGAAGGTGCAACAGAGCAGAGAGGAAGAAAATGTTTCTCAGGTAATTCTGGTGATTTGGGCTGCTTTTTCCACAAATTCTTAACCAAAAGAAGCTCCGTGCATTTCTTCATCAGAGTCATGCAAAATGCTGGTCAATCCAGTGGGCATGTACGCTCCCAGGGGATTAGGAGCCAAGGGATAAATCAAAGCTGCTGCTGTTGCTGCTACATGACTGTATTTGTAAAGGTAAGACACATACCTGGCAGGCTGCTGATAACCAACAGTGTGGAAATTAGTATCACATGAGACTCTAGCCCATGAAGCCAGGCAAAAGTGCCTCGGGCTGTGGCACCACCCCTTGCTATGCCGCCAGACAATATAGTGTGAGCTAGGCACCATAGCAACCAAATAAATAAAAAGTCTTTGGCACGACAGCTCTCCACTTCAGGCTTTGCAGAAAGCAACAGCCCCAGCACGGCCACTCAGGTCTCCCAACTCCAGGAACCCTTCTCAGCGATACCAAAATGCTCTCTGGAGGAGCCACGTGCCACGGGGGACTGTATGAGGAGCCCGGGTTACTTGGTCACCTGAGTGAGTTGTACTTAGGTCCAAGTACCCCTTATTAAAGACTTTCCTTTCCTCTCCATCCTTTAATTGCTAATCTGAGGCCAGCTTTTATGAGGGTCCTGCAGAATAGTCCTTGAAAACCACAAAAAAGCAAGGGCTAAAACCCCTCAATTCCCAGGGATACAACGGGAGCCGAGGACAGCCAGCTACCTACAAGTCTCTCCTGCTGACTGCCTCCTCAATCCCCAGCCACTGGATTTACTCCTACAGCAGCCTTTATGGGGCAGGTGTTTAGCAAGCAGTGTATCTTCATCTTCTACTTCTTGATAGTCTCCTGATCGGCATGGTCACAGCTGCTGGGTGCCTGTAGGCTGCCTGCCTCTCTTCTCCACAACCGGATAGCCCCAGCCCCTAACTGAGTCCAACTGGCAGCTGTGACAAAACTGCAGCAAAATCCCTGGGAGCGACTTTGCTTCCGCCGACCAGAGGGCACCGGGGTGAGTGCGGATCACACGGGATGGTGGGAAGGAGGGGTCTGCTTTTACAGCACTCCTGGGAAGTTGTCTTTGCCAGGCAGCCAACTTTGAAAGCTGGAAGGACGCTGAGAAAACTCTGAGTTGCGTTAGCCTGCTTGGACGGGAGAAAATAATAGCAAAAGTAAACATCTCTCAACAGATAGGTTAGTCCTGCCCCCGGGGTCTTCGGCAGCAAGCCAGCGTCTCATCCTGGAGCACAGCCCTCTGGCTGAGTACGTGCTGATGCCCAGAGCCATGGATTGCTATTGCAAACACATGCGCCTGACCGACTTGACTCTGTCTCCCTGCACGGTGCCACTGCCAGGCTGCCAGTCCCTACAGACCACTGATGGTGCCGCTGGTAGGCACCTTCTGACTGTACCAACAAGGCTGCTGCTTCACCTCCACACCAACCGATGCCCTGGAAGGGCGGAGAGGGCAGCCCAGCTCTGTGACAGGCATTTGTGGGGCACAACCAGACTTTGCCATTGACCATCAGCCCTAAAACTGCCCACAGGGCCCAGAAACCGTAGCTCTCTGCCCATCCCCTGACAGCTGATGTAGCAGGCGCTGGCATTTCTTTTCCCGATCCTCTGCCCCTTGCAAGCCCCAACAGCCAGAAACAAAACCCTTGCTCAGCATCCAGATCCCACATGCTTCCGAGGACATGCTCTGACCATGCCCGCTGAAAAACTTGTTCTTCCAACAGCAGCACCTCCAGACAAAGGTGAATTTGAAGCTGCAAGGCTTACAGGAAAACAGCTGTCCGTCTGTTTATCCCCAGATTATGCACAGAGAATGGCAAGACAGTGCTTTCTGGAAAATGCAGGCAGATCCACAGCGGGCAGGACAGAACCAGTCACTAGAATTCACTTTCCACGGGGCAAGGATTGCTGATATAAATCCAACTATTGTCACAAACTGCTGCAAATTCACACTTAGTTTCCTCCTCTGTCCCTGCTGCCTCTGTCCCCACACCAGACAGAAAGCGATCACAGCCAGCTCTCTCTGCTGGGACCATTCAGATCATCCAGGCTCACTCCTCCTGTAATACAGGCTGTACAAACTGGTCCTCTCAGCTTCCCGAGAGGCTAGAACATATTCCTTAAGGAAGCCAGATAGCTTCGGGAACTAGAGACCTTGGTTACTCTGGACTGCTGCTTCCCATTCCTCTCCCCCAACCATTTCAGACCACAACAGCAGAACGGGCTGCACAGGTATGTCGCTGAGCATCTCCTCAAAGATGACTCCCATCTCAAGCAGCATAACCAGTACGTAGGTGGACACAGAGCCCACCGCAATCATCACTGCAGTCACCTACGTCTTTGCTGTTGGGCTAACCCATGCCCATCAGACCCACTTTTCCCCAGCATCAGTGCCCTACAGCCTTCAGAACACTTCTGCTGGCCCACAACCTAGCAAAAAAAAAAAAAAAGAAAAAAAAAAGAGCTGCTACAAACCACGTGAGTGACTCGGATCCCTTTCCTATAAAACACCTCCTCCACAGGGTGCTCACAGGCTGCATTCAGTGCTGGTCTCTGCAGAGGGGCTCCTGGGTGAGAGGTCCCAGGCGCAGGTGAAGCACCCTTGCGGTGCCAGTAAGGCAGAGGCCAAGGGGTGGCAAGCTCAGGCCTCCACAAAGGGAAAGCAAGCTGGCAAGTGGGAACAAGAAGGATTCACAACACTTTCCCCACCATTTTGCAGGGGAGAGAATTGCTCCTACTCCTGAGAGCTTGCTAGGATGTATGAAGTTTCTCATCTCATCAGACGTATCTTCTGAAAGTAATTAAAGAACAAAAAGCTCTCTCTTCTAACGGCAAAACTGCTTCAGTTCAACCTCAGGGCTGGGCTGGGAATCGTCCTCACTGGGTGGGCTCTGCTCCTACACTACAGAACACTCCCTTGGGGGAAAAATAAAGGATAAGGCATTGCCACCCGTAGCCAACAAGTTGGAAGAAAGCAAACAAAGAGGTGCCCTTTGCTTATAACACACCTCTGCAGAGAGAGCTCTCGGCAGTGCTGGAGGGTGCAGCCAGAGGCACCTTTTCCCACACCGAGAGACCGGTGGCACAGAGAGGCAAAGCTCACAGCCTCCTCGTGGCAAAGTGCCACTACGATCTCTGCCCAGCCCCAACAGCACCTGAGCTGCAAGTTCCACCGACTCCTGCGTTTAGAGCAGTCCTGTGGGTCACGAGTCATTTCTTACAGTCCTTCAAACTGCCGTGTTGTCCCTTGGCCACTACAGGGCAGCAGGACACCTTTGGTCCCCGCTATGTGTGGCCACAGTCCCCAAATTCTCATGATTTCGCTAGCGAGGTGTCACAGGAAGCACCATTCTCTTCGTGTCACCCTCCCTGCTCTGGAGGCTTCACCCCACCACTGGACAGAGCAGATAACAACGCGGCAAAACAAGGCCCAAGGCTCAGCACTAGCACTGCAACCAGGAAAGCTCTCCGCTGTCCTCCTCCTCAATGGCCAGCCTGCTCTGCCTGCGACCCGTCGGGCACAGCAGTGGGAGGAAAAGAGAGAAAGTGCTGGAACAGTTGGGAACAAAACCAGGTTGCAAGCCCTAGATGCACCTTCCTTACCATGCTGTTGGCTGGTCTGCTGGCATGTGCCTCCATCTGCTGCCAGTACTTCTTCGATTCCTGCACGATATCTTCATGGGTCATTCCTGGGAACAAAAGGAGACAGGATTGAGCTACCCTGATTTGGCCAAGAGAAGAGAGGGAGGGAGGGGTTGCAGGACTTCCTACATCAGGGCTTAATAACCCCTGTGCGGCTGACAGCTCCCAACAGTCCCACTCGTAACATCAGGACGTGGATTGTGAGGGACACACGACAGAAGTGTTTGAGCACAGGCTAAGGAACCTCCTCTCTCCACACAAGCCAAACGAAAGGGGAAGAGTTCGGTCTCCGGGACCCATTCAGACCTGGTGTTCTGCTCAGGCTGTCTGCACAGGACCCAGATGGTGCCTCCAAGATGATGTTTCTTGATTAGGGGTCAAGACCTTCACCAAGACTGTCCCCCAACACCGTATCAACAGATCCTACCCAAGGCTCTGAAGACAACACTTTGTTACTGTTAATCTACTGTACATTGGAGTGTTTGCCATTAGCTTGGAAGATCACAGATATCCTACTGAGACATCTACCATCTCCAAGACCCCACAAGTCTCACCTTAATCCCTGCTGGGATTAATCAGGCTGTTACACACTTCCAAGTTGGGGGGGGCTGCTGACTGGTCAATAGGCAAAGAGGCAAGTTGAAATTTAACAGACAAACATCAAGGGCAACCGAGGTAGCAAGGAAAGACCAACAGTGCAAAACCAACCAAGGAACAGCTGCTAGTATGTAACCAGCAAGGAAAGATCTGCAAGGTTTCAGGAATCAGAGAAGCAACATCAGACACCAAGAAAAAGGCTTGGTCAGCCCTTATCTAAGGAATTAGCTCCTGACCAACTCAAGTGGTGAGGGAACAGCCCCGGCCAGCACCGACCAGCTAGATGGGCGCTACGATTTTCGGAGCACTAAACAGCAAGAGAAAAGTATGTAAGAGCCAGAACTGCCTGGTCAACGTGAGGACTCTGTTACAAAAAAGCCACGTTATTTAAGTGCTATAAAGACCTGAGGTAGCTGCCGAAACAAACTGACGCAAGTATCTTACAACGGCCGGCTGACTGCAACAAGTGGGGTGCTGAGGATGGCCTTGATGCAGCACCCCCAGCACAGAGAGGTTGCAAAATTGCTTGCTCTGCTTTTGCCTACAGCTTTTATTATGGAAGTGAGGTGTTCCCCAGGCATGCCACATGGACACGATCTTTGATCTGGAAGCCAGCATGCTGCAGAACTCAAGGGCCAGCAAACACAAGCTCTCATCTCAGCTTAGGCTGCGTGTAACTTGGGTAGGTCACAGCATTCCTGACCTCAGTTTCCCCATCCGTGATTTCAGCTGTCCAGGTCCCTGCCAGGCAACAATACTGCTGTTTGTACAGGGCTTGGGCAGGATGAAAAGCATACAGGGAACTTCACCGTTCTTCAAGAACATTGACTCAAGCCTCCAAAATGGCAGCTGCTGCATAGCTGGTACTACTCCCAGATCGGAGCTGTTTGTGGATTTTCTCCTTCTTAACCACTAATCCCAGAAGAAACTGTGTAGAGTTAGAAGAACTGCAACTCCCTCTTCCGTGTCTAAGTATTCCAGGGCTGGACACAATGCCGATCTCTGCTTTGGTGACAAAAACTATAAAGCTGGGAAAACCACAGCAAAAAGTTAACGTGCTGCACTGGACCTGGCAGATAAAGGGCCAAAGCAGCTCCCATCTTCTCTGTTCTGCACACCTGCACTGTGATCCTCAGGGTGCAGAACCAACGGGAGAAGCATATACAGCTCCTGTCAGAAGAATGAATTTCAAATGAAGTTCTTAGCAAATGACTGCCTTCTTCCAGTCCCAGAAATCTGAGCTAACTCAACAATATGGTCTAGAAATGTGGTGGCTGGGAAAAAAAAACCTCCCAAATATGAAAAGATGTTTTCCAATACACCAGCTCTCCAAAGCATGAACTGTCCCAAAGAGACGATTTGGGAACCAAAAGGCCCATGTGTTGATTACTTACAGCACTTCAGCATCTTTTGCAACATCGTTCGTGAGGACAAAGACTTTGTGATTTCCACTGATGGAAGAAGATGGCAAGATATGTCTGTGAAAAGCCACAGTGAACAAGAAAACAGTCCTGCCTGTCCACATTTTCAGATCTTGGGAACCTTTACTCCACTAATACAATCCTTTATCCCCATGAACAAAGCCACCAGCTCTGTAAAAGCTCAAACGGCTGTGAAATGCAACAGCCCACTGGTTTCAAATGCAAGCTGCTATGAATAATACCCCCTTCCTATTCTTGCCAAGCAAATGGTGCCCAAATCAAACTCTGCTCCAAAGCCAAACCATTCCCAGAGAATGGTGACAACTACCTTTCATCTCTGATTCAATAATGAGGGTTGCACTTAAGAGAGGTAATAAACGACCACTCCAGGAAGGCAAATTCACAAGGAAAGCAGGCTCATATATACAGCCCTGCAGAAAAAAAAACACCCAAAAGATGACGGCTATCCCATTGTTGGAAAAAATGGGAATAAACACAAGGCTTACTGACCACCTCTGCAGCTAAACTCACGGCTTGTTTCATCTCCTCAGCTTCCCTTTTGGACATCACTTCTTCAAGTAGAGGAGGCAAGAAGCAAAAATCAATCTAGCTATTTCTTCTACAGGCTGAAGAGGAAGGAAGAGGGAGGGAGAGAAGGAGCGAGCAACGAAAATTTTTCTAAAAAAAAAAAAAACGAAACACCAACAAAAATAAACGAACCATGAGGTGGGGAAAAGAGCAATGTGCTTGAATATGAGAGCACCCAGAGTACTACGGGCAGCATCATAAGCATGTAGGGCAGCAGTGGTGGCCTACGGCTCACAGGCAACATGCTGTCTTAGAAACGCCGGTGCTGTCATTTTTCAGTTTCCTGTGGGCACAAGTTAAGTGAGGCCAAACAGGAAGAATAAAACAGGAAGAATAAAAGACGGCATTCTGCCACAGTGCACCGCTGCTTGTTCATCACTGTCCCTCACGAGCCAAGCCAAGGCCAAGGCCTGCACTGAACAACAGTGACAGGCGCTTGAACAATAAATTAAAGAAGTTGCCCCCAATTACATCAAAGAATGGTGAGAAACACCCATAACGTGTTTCCTCTCTGAAGTACTCCCATTACTGGGCTGGGTCCTGCATTAAACAAGACCCTGTGGTGAAAAGAGATGTAGGTAGCATTGTGGGTGGACCAGCACCTACTCGGTGAACAGGAGAGCGGCAAGAGAAACCCTCCAACATCTCAGAGAGAGAGAGGAGTGAAAGTGCCCGATGCAGCAGTGTCATTATATGAGTGACATGAATATAAATTCTGCAATAGCCTCTTCAGAGGCGTATCATCCAAACCTTTTTGGGAAACGCCAAGTATCCTGTCATTTCCCACTGCTGGCAAATTTGTTTAGAGAAACTGGAGATGAACGACCTTCCTTTATATAACTGCTTTGTCTCCAGATGCTTGCTCAGGGGCCCAATTGCTATTTAAGGTCTTGCACAGGATTTAAGCACCAATACACCTCTGGGGATTCAGCCCTACCTAATAATCGTTTCAACTTATGCAGCTGGTCCCAAGGGAAAGGCTTCCTGGTCTGCAAATCACAGTAGCACATGTAAAGGGACAAGGACCAAATCACGTCACAGAACACCTTGGCTCTCTTTTCTGTGTCCCCAAGGAGATACAGTAAGTATATCCACAAGCGAGAGACAACTTCTCAGTGCTCGCAAATCTCCTCCTTCCCTTCTCAACTGAAGGAAACTCAGGTCTACACATCACCGGCCCTGCACCAAATCACACTCACCTGAATACTGCTGCAGCAGCCAGACCTTGAGCTCGATGAAACTGTGAGCAAAGTGGCAGCTGTCCTCGCGCAGGCAGCCATAACGCACCTCATGTCGGCACACGTCAAACTGGAAGTGCTCCTGGAACTGGCGGATCTTGGAGTATTTCAGGGAGGTGGAACGTACAATGTGGACCAGACACCTGCAGCCAGGCCAGAGAAATATGAAGCACCAGAGGATCAAATCTTCACCCCCTCCTCCTTACATGTGACTTTCAGGCATTTGACTGGGTAGGCAAAGGACACAGAAAATCAACTCTGGGAGAGACAGACTCCCACCGGGAAAACCAAACCCCTGCCCTCCCACCCTATCTACCCTCAGCAGGTATTTTCAAGCTCCTCAGCCCATGGGTGATGCTCTGCTTAAGTTCAGAGCTCAGACACATTTCAAAATATGCAGCAAAGATACCAACAGCTCTGGTTCAGCAAGTCCCTAACTCTCAGGTTTCCAGGAACCAGAAGGGGTTGTATTACTGTGTACTTGACATGTTTCTTATACTTGTTTTCCTAAACGTTCCTTACCAGCCAGAGGCAGGATCCTCAGCTAGAGGATCTTTGGTTTGACCTTTATGTAAAGGCCAAACTGAAAGGCAAATTAAGTCAATGGAAAACTTAGGCTGACTCCAAAGGGCTTTGCTGATGTCTGAAATCCCTCAGCACCAGGAGCGAACATGCAGGGTGAAGCACACAGTGCTATTTATCATGCTTTGAGCTGCCCCACGATTGGAACCCACAGGGAGGAAAGAAAGAAAGAGAGCAGGGCCCTGGAGTTAAACTGGCTCGACTTGTGAGAGATTGCTCCCATCGGCACAAAAAAAAATATGTTCACTCACTTGTTGTCATGGAAACTGTGTTTGGCAGAAAGGTTGGAGCAGACAGATGGTGTGTCCTTGGTCCCTTTGCTGATAATCCGGGGTTTGCTGTCAAAGCAAATCTGAGAAGAGAAGAATTAGCATGCTGGGAAAATCTTAGAGAGCAGTGAACCAGAGCCACGCCACTTGGAAGCAAAAGAAGAACCAGAGCCAGCCTATTCTAATGTTCAAAGTTAGAAGCAGCCTGGTGAAAACTTTGTGGTAGGACTTTAAAATAAAGCAAGCGAATTTTTGGAAAAGCTTCTGGACAACATTTTTTGGCTTATTCTCATCAGTATTTTCCATTGTGGTTGGAAAAATTTTGGTCAGAGCCACATATTCTTTCCCAGTCAGCCAAGAGAGCAAGAACAAGAGGGAGACAATGGGGAGAAATAAAAGAACAGCCAGTTCACAGCAAAGAACATGTCCCTTCACATGGCCCACTGCCAGTGCGGGGAACTCTCCGCTGCAGAGCATCAAGACGGTACGAGCCAATTCTTAACTGACCGAGTCAGTGGCTCAGCACGGACATCAAGTGGGAACATGCTGCATTACGGAGCTCGGATTTCTAAAGTAGCCGGGGTTAATTTACAATACAAAGCAACACCTCAAGACAGAGGAAGAGACAGGTGATCCCATGAGGCTGTGTGTACCTGGTTCAGAATCATAGAATTGTTTAGGTTCACAGGACCTTTAAGGACATTGAGGGCTAAGGAAGAAAGCTACCTCTCCTTTCTCCTACACAGCTCCATCCACTGCTAACTGCCCTTGGGGGAATAGGGTGCTGGCTGGGACATGGAGTGTCATAGAATCATAGAACTGTTTAGGTTGG